GACATCAGCATACTGTCCCTCACTGGACACACAGCTGGGACCTGGGCAGAGACATCAGCATACTGTCCCTCACTGGACACACAGCTGGGACCTGGAGAGAGACATCAGCACACTGTCCCTCACTGGACACACAGCTGGGACCTGGAGAGAGTCATCAGCAACACTGTCCTCTCCACTGGACACACAGCTGGGACCTGGGCACAGGCATCAGCACACTGTCCTCTCCACTGGACACACAGCTGGTTCCTGGGCACAGGCATCAGCTGCTGCTAAGGCACCGCCTAGGACAGTCACTTGAACTGACCTCTCCTACCAAGTTTCCTGTTGTTTGCTCCTTACACAGAAGTCTTTTAACAAGCATCTGATTTCACATTTAAACTTTGATCTGTAAACACAACTCACATTGATCAAGACACAGAGGAAATCATTTCCCTGACTTGCCCTTCTACAGGGTTTTTGTACCAAGGTTCTGGTACACAGTCCAGCCAGCTGCACACTTATGCTGCACCTTATTAAACAGGACTTATGGTAATCACAGTGTCAAAGGATTTTCCTCATTAGCTTTGTCTCTATTTATTTATTTATTTATTTATTTACTTACTTACTTACTTATTTTTTTATTTTTTATTTTTATTTTTTATTTTATTTATTTATTTATTTAGTTAGTTAGTTAGTTAGTTAGTTAGTTAGTTTTTCGAGACAGGGTTTCTCTGTGTAGCTTTGGGCCTTTCCTGGATCTCGCTCTGTAGACCAGGCTGGCCTTGAACTCACAGAGATCTGCCTGGCTCTGCCTCCCGAGTGCTGGGACTAAAGGCGTGCACCACCACTGCCCGGCTAGCTTTGTCTCTTAATGTTCCCCACAAGGTTCACTCAGGAGATCCGATGGTCGACCTCTGAACTTACACTGGCTAAGAAAAGCGTCTCAAGCTCTTAAGCCACCGATCTTGCCTGTACCTGTGGCAAAGCTGCGGAGAGTTCTTCGGACAGTTTCTGGCCTATCCTTCTCCTCTCATAAGGGCAAAACTGCCCTGACTGCTTCTTAACGCCCAGGAGGAGTCACAGCACAACTAACAGCCTCGTTCTGTGTGACACAGAGGCGACCTGGCCCACACAGCATGCTCCAAGGACGGGTGCTGTCCTCACAGGGCTCCCTTGTGCCCTGAATCTCTGCCATCAGGTTTTGTGACAGCCCCTGAAATCATCCCTCTCCCAAGGCACTCTACCTCATCACTCCTTTTGTAGCTCAAAACATCTAGTCTGTGCCCTAAAACTCCTAACAGCTTTTAGGGGAACCTCTGAGAAGGGGGAGGAAGAAAGAGGAGTTAGAATCACTGATGGGCAGAGAGACAGGAAAGGAGCCAAAACTAGGCAAAGGATGGCGAAGTTCCAAGATGGCTGGCTTCTTCCTCCTCCTCCTCACCTAAGACAAAAGCCTGGTAGCTTAAAAAAAAATCCTTATTACCCTGTTCTTCTACCAGCAGGGCCCCTCCGGGGGAAGTGGCTACTCTACACTACACAAGTTCCGGGCCAGACCAGAACATGTTACACAATGATTGGGGATCAATCGGTCAGCCTGTCTTTCTTCGAACTGAACAAGCCTAAATTAGGGGAGGAATGCTGTGGAATAATGCTTTTGCACACTGGTTTAATAAAACACTGATTGGCCAGTAGCCAGGCAGGAAGTATAAGTGGAATAAGCAGACAAGAAGAATTCTGGGAAGAGAAAGGCTGAGTCAGAAGACACCAGCCCACAATCCAGGGAGCAGCATCTAATGGCACACAGGTAAAGCCACAGAAAAGGTGGTGACATATGGATTAACAGAAATGGGCTGAGTTTAAGTGTAAGAGCTCGTCAGTGGTAGGCCTGAGCTAATGGCCAAGCAGTTTTAATTAATATAAGTCTCTATGTGTTTACTTGGGTCCAAGCAGCTGCAGGACTGGCAGGTGAGAGAGATTTGTCCTGACCATGGGCCAGGTGGGACACAGGAAAAGTTCAGCTACAGAGGAAGACCCTTCAGAGACATTAAAAATGTTGCCCAGCCCTGAGAGAGGCCCTCTGCTTTGCTATATGTCCCTGGGTGCCTGCCATAGGTGTGTGTTCCCCCACCCCCAATAGAAGCCTCTCTTCAATCACTGGGAGAAAGAAAAAGAAGTTGGATCACAGCACATTGAACACAGGCTGCAAACCTGAGCCATTTTGTATAGACTTATTTCAGGAGTCATAAAACTCTGCCCTTGACACTGTTACAGATGCCAACTTTCTGAAGTAAATGGATGTCAGTTGCTTCCTCTGTAAGCTAGAGACCCAAACTGTCACAGAACAGACTGTGTGGAGAAATTAGAGTAGACATACCAATTCCTTTTCCAAATATTTTCTCTATTTTTTTGCATCTGCATTTTCTGTTCTTAGATAAAAACACTTCACAAACCTCAGCCTGGAAGGCTTTATAGAAAATAGACAAAAAACTGTTTGTTCATGCACATACACATACACCCCTAAATCCATCCACTGGAAACATTCTTTTGCTGCTCAGACAGATATTTTTGGCTTTTTTTTTTTTTTTTTTTTTTTTTTTTTTTTTTTTTTTTTTTTTTTTTTTTTTTTTTTTTTTTTTTTTTTTTTTTTTTGCCTCTCTTCAACAAGTGACCAAGCTGATGCAATCATTTTTTACTGAGAAAAAAAAAAACCACAAAGAATGAAAAATGGCACGGGAAATAATCTTTTTCTTTGCAGGGTTAGAGACAGAAGGTGGGTTCTTCTGTAGGCAAGGACTACAACCCTAGCCTCTGGGTTTCACTCGCTTTTTGTTTTTGAGACAAGCTCTCACAATATAGTTTACACTGTCCATGAACTCTCAGTCCTCCTGTTCCCTTCTGGAAAATGCTTGGGATTACAGGAGTGCACACCATTCCCAGCTGGGATTACAGGGGTGCACCATCGTCCCCAGCTGGGATTACAGGGGTGCACCACCATCCCTGGCCAGGATTACAGGGATGCACCATCGTCCCCGGCTGGGATTACAGGGGTGCACCACCGTCCCCGACCGGGATTACAGGGGTGCACACCATCCCCGGCGGGAGAAGAACATCAAAAGATCTATGAATGAAAGGGAAATGGACTACAACAAAACCTGAAGGTGCTGGGCCAGTGGACGGCTTGGTGGGTGTGGTGTTTGAATGAGAATGGCCCCCACAGGCTCAAATACGTGAAGGCCTGGCCCCAGTTCTTGGAGCTGTCTGGAAGAGTCAGGAGATGTGTCATTGGGGGTGGGCTTTGAGATGTCAAAAGCCCACACCAGGCCCACTCTCTCTCTCTCTGTGATGTGAGCTCTTAGCTGCAGCTCCTGTGCCACGCCCCCTCATCCGCTGCCATGCTTCCCACCATGCTGGTGGTGGACTCGCCCTCTGAAACCGTAAGCCTCCAATCAAATGCCTCCTTTTGTAAACTTCCCCGGTCTCTTTGAAGCAATAGGAAAATAGCGACGCTGGTGAGTAAAGGCACTTGCCTCCACGTCTGAATTCAGTCCTCTGAACCCACATGATGGAAGGAGAGAATAACTCCTGCAGTTTGGACTCTGACCTCTACGTGCATGCATGCATGCACCTGTGTGTGTGTGTGTGTGTGTGTGTGTGCGCGCGCACACACACAAAATAAATGTAATTTTAAAAAAGCAAGTATATAGAGCAGGAGTTGCTTCAATGAAGCCATCTTTTAAAATAAGCCAAGCATGCAGACGAAGCAGGGAAACGCTGCCCTTTCATGAACAGATGGGAGCAATTACCTAGTTTACACAAGGTATCGCTGAGGCTGATGCTCAGCTGCTTCCTGACTAGCTTGCAGGTGGCCACAGTGTCTGAATTCTCCTTGATTTTTATTACTTGTTTATAATATTCAGTTACTTGCTTCTTTTGCGATCTGGAAAACAGAAATTCAATTAAAACTTTGCATTGAAGAAACATGGCATACATTCATTCAACAAACATTCTCTGAATGCTGGCCTTAGGATGGGGAGCAAAGGAGAGTACGTGAATGTCAGACTCTCACAGTTTAGAGGGTGGAAAATGAAGCCAGATCCACGGATGTAACAGTGTGTGCCATATATATATATACAGAGTCTCAGGCATCAAAGCTCCATATATAGCAAGGATGACCTTGAACACCTGCCTCCTATCCTGGGCTCTGGGACTGTAGGCATGCACCATTCCACAGAGTGGAGATTTGCTGGGGATTGAACCAAAGCCTTAGCCCGTGTTAGGCAGGCATTCTCCCAACTTAGCCTCATCCTCAGCCCCTGTTGTTGTTGTATTATACTATTGTTATTATTGTAATTATTATTATTACTGTTATTATTGCAGTGCTGGGTATCAAAGCCAGGGCCTCTGTGGTAGTTTGAATGAGAATGGCCCCATAGGTTCATATGTCTGAATACTTGGTCCCCAGCTGGCAGAACTGTTTGAGAAGGATTAGGAGGTGTGGCCTTTCTGGAGGAGGTGCGGCCTTGCTGGAGGAGGTGTGGCCTTGCTGGAGGAGGTGTGGCCTTGCTGGAGGAGGTGTGGCCTTGCTGGAGGAGGTGTGGCCTTGCTGGAGGAGGTGTGTCACTGAGGGCGGCTTTGAGGTTTCAAAACGCTGGCACCATTCTCCTACTCTCGGACTGAGATGTGAGCTGTCAACTGTTCCCACTGCTATGCCACCGTGGACTCCGCCCTCTGGAACCCTAAGCCCAACTAAAGACTTTCTTCTACACATTGCCTTGGCCATGCTGTTCTGTCACAGCAATCATCCTCAACCCTTTGAACATGAGCTATACCCAGGGCTTTGGGCTGTAACGTTGAAAAGCCTTCCAGAGGGTGGTAGGCTCACACTGACTGCGCCTGGGTGGACGCTGGAGGCCGCACTGAAGCGGCCACAGGGGGCAGTCAGACCTGAGCCAAGCCCTCTGATGTGTGCTGCCGCTTACCTCACCAAACTCAAGACGGTAGGTAAGCTCCTGTCCAGCCTCAGTCACTCGGCAATAGAAAGGAAGCCGGAGTCCAGCAGTGGGACACAGCCAGCACCTCCCCTGATCGGTCAGAAAGGACACCCACCGTGGGCTGATTTAAACTCAGGGACTACAGATTACTGCTAGGCCTCAGAGAAACCCAGCACAAATGGCTAAAGGGCCTATTAACGTATCAAAGCAGACTCTAGCCGCCAGCTTCTCCCAACCCAGCATTGCAAGTACAGTCCTGGCTCCTCCGCTCTCACCCCGCCCCTACCCTACACCTCCCCAGCACCTGAGCTTCCCTTCCCTTCCCCAGCTCCTCTTCCTTGTGTAGCCTCAGCCTTTTTGACTATGTGCTCTCCTGGATTCTATCTTGGTCTGCCATTTTTGGCTCCTGGTCCTCTCTCTTGTTTTCTCTCCTCTTTTCTTCCTCTCTCAACACCCCTCCACCACCACCCACCACCACCACCCCGCCCCGCGCCCCCAGCCTGATTCAGTCAGCCGGCCATGTTCAGGAAGGACTCTTCCAGATGCCTCTGGCTGTTCTCTCCCTCATATCTACAATAAAACCTCCTCAACCGTACCTAGGAGCGGCCATGTCCTCATTTTCAGTTACCTCGTCTACTGACGAGAGAGGAGGGAAATGATCTTAGAGAAAGTGGAAGACTGGGGTGGGAAAAGGACACCAGGACACAGGAGGGGAGGAGAGGGCAACTCCGAACCCAAGACACAGTAACTTCACAACTGAACGAGCATCCCTGGATGTTCAGTCAGCTGGCTCCCCTATGAAAGAGCAATGCTGAGCCCAGGAAGTCTGCCATTGGCTCTCGGGCTTCACAAAGAAACTCCCTCCACACTAGCCTGCAGCAGGAAAAACAGTTGGATCTGGCCACGCTCACAGCAGGGTCCCGTGATCTCTACTACCCTCTTCTACGCCTGGATATGTGAGGAGCTGAGGACAGAGCCACATCTCAAAGGCTGATCGAGGCAGGAGCTGGGGGGGGGGGGCAGCAGGTGAGTATGACCTAAGGCATGGCTGACTTTGGCCTTGATCACACAGACCCACAGAAGAGCAGCCAGGGCCTAGGCCTGCACAGAAGCCCTAAGCAAAGCATGCCCAGTCACAAGTCCTGTCAGGAACACTGGGGAACACTCACAGTGAGCGCACTGGAACCCCTGTGTCCTTACCTGCTGCCAGAGCTGCCTCTCTGTGGGCCCAGAGTTTTCAGAATGCCTTGTAGCAGGTCCCCTGACAAACACGGCAGAGCCCCCAGGAAGGGCACACCCCCTCTAGAGACAAAGGAGCAAGATGCCCCTGATAGGTCAGTGCACATCCCAGACACCAGAGAAATGGGAGAGGGACCCATTTCTTGAAATAGTCCATAGAAACTTACTTTTCATTATCTTCTAGTAAAAAAAATAGCAAATCCGCTAAAAATTCCATAATTTCTCCAACTAGTATGTTTTTATCACCAAATAGACGTCTTCTGATGTGTAAACACTCTTGAAACTTCAGTCTTGCAACAGGCACATTTCCAGCAGCCAACCTGAGAACGAAACACAGGCCTGTGGCTTACCAGGCATGGAGAATGCTTACAGTAAATGGTCTACATTCACTGGGCTAGCAACAATTCTCAGCCATTTTATGAAAATCCTTTCTCTTATATGGATATCTATCCAGAAAGATATGTGTAAATGGGGGAATCAAGAACCTCAAAAACACTCAGAAGTAGGTGTCTGTGTGTGTGAGCACACGTGTACACGTGCATGAGCACACGCACCCCGTTTAGGAGGGGGCAGTGCTAGGGATCCAACCCCAAACCTTATACATGCTAGTACTTGCTCTAGCACTGAGCTACATCTGCCTGTCCTCAGAAATATCTTTATAAAGAAACCAGAATAGCCAGGCATAGTGGAACATGCCTATAATCCCAGCATTTGAGAGGCTAAGACAGGAGGATCGTTGAGTTCAAGGCCAGCCTAGGCTACATAGTGTATTTCAGGCCACCCTGGGCTATCTGGCAAGATTTTTTACTCAAAAAAAAAATTTCCAAATAAGGAAGAAACTAGAACACTTCTCAACCTCAGCACTACAATGTTGCAGGATATTTGTACACTGTGTAAAGATGGATTGCTGTGATTGGTGTAATAAAAAGCTGAATGGCCAATAGCTAGGCAGGAGGTATAGGCAGGACTTCCAGGGACAGAGAGAAGTCTGGAAAGAGAAAGGACACCAGGAGATGCAGAGCAAGCAGGATGTAGAGGAGGAGAGGTGACAGCCACAAGCCACATGGCAGAGCGTAGATGAATAGAAATGGGATAAGTTATAAGAGCTAGTTAGGGGGCTGGAGAGATGGCTCAGCAGTAAAGAGCACTGGCAGCTCTTCTAGAGGTCCTGAGTTCAATTCCCAGCAACCACATGGTGGCTCACAACCATCTGTAATGAGATCTGGCGCCCTCTTCTGGGGTGTAGGAATATATGCAGAAGAACATTGCATACATAATAAAAAAATAAATCTTCAAAAAAAAAAAAAAGAACTAGTTAGAAACAGGCCTAAGCGATAAGTCAAGCTTTCATAATTAATAAGAAGTCTCCATGTCAATATTTGGGAGCTGGTGGGACAGAGAAAGACTTGTTACACTATACGTTTCTTTGGGGAGGGTAATTTCATGTAGATCTGCCCTACACATTGTAGGCAGCATTCCTGGCCTCCGCCTCTAGATGGCAATAAAAATCTTCCTGCCAGTGATGTTAACCAGAAAGCAGTACAGATATTGCCCAAAGTGCCTTGAGAAGAGCCCCAGACCAGCCATGGCGGAGGCCTGCTATGCTGGAAGACAAACATGCCAATGTTCAGCGTTCAACCAAATTTGATGTGGTAGCAGGTACCGATCAAATATAAATATAAATATGTATTGTTGAGACAGGGTCTCATGTTAGCTTAAATTGACTTTGAACTTCCTATGAAGCTGAGGACAACCTTGAATTCCTCATCCCTTCCCCCGCTCTGCCTCCCAAGTGCAGGGATTACAGGCATGCATCATTGTGCCCAACTTACGCTGTTGTGGGGAATGAACCTGGGACTTCATGTACACGAGCCAAGCGCTCTACCAATTGAGCTGCATCCTCAGACCCCTAGCATATTAATAAAGAGAATAGCAGCTAATACAGAAAGCAGGAAGAACAAAGAAAAACATCATGCTTACATGAGAACACCTTCAGTATATTTCATGGTAGCTTGATCGCGGGGGCTATCAGTCACTAACTTGGAGATTTCAGTAGCATAATCCAAAATGTGGCTTTCTTTTAAGAATTTCTCAGATGCTGACTTTACCAGGTTATTCATCACTTTGACTACAGGACATAAATGTTGGCAAAGAATATAATGCTTAAGGTTTTGTTTATCCACAGAAGAGTCAACATGTCAACAGGCCTAGCATTTCATACCATTTCTTCATCATGCCAAGAACCAGGGTCCTTCTGGACAAATCAATCACTGACCTACACATACTAGGGTCTGTTTCCATACAAAGTGTCTGTACGCATGCAGCAGTCAAAGGTCCAAGGAACAAAGACAATAGTTTGAACCCGAAGATTAAATCTGTTTTAGGGTGATATAGGTGCAGATGAGTGTGGAAATACAAGACACACACACACTGAGAGAGAGAGAGAGAGAGAGAGAGAGAGAGAGAGAGAGAGAGAGAGAGAGAGAGAGCATGAGAAGTCAGAGGATCCTTTAAGTTTCATTCCTCAGGTACCACACACACTTTTTTGTTTGTTTTTTTGTGACAGGGTCTCTCTTTGGCCTCGGACTCACTAACAGGTGAGGCTGGCTGCCCAGAGAGCCTTGGGGATTCAGCCATCTCTGCTTCTTCAGCACCGGGGTCACAAGCATGTGCCACCGTGTCCACCTTTTTACATGGGTTCTGCCTTGGCCTCCTACGTGCTGGGATAGAGAGATGCACCTTCACGGTTGACAGTGGGTAGTTTTCTTTGGCATCACCCGGCCCTCCCCCTCCCTGGGGTTGCTCTCTGAACTGCGAGGAGCGGAGTGGCCTCCGTGGGTGTCGCCTACCTTTCTGCTTCATTAATTCCTGGCTGGTTTTCAAGTCACTGAGCGTAAACCGCAGCAGATTTGACCACGCTTTCTGAAAATACGTGAGTCCTTTCTCAGTCATCCCGATTTCAAGATACAGTTCTCCAATGGCATTCTGGGCTTTGAGGAGCATTTCTGTCATGGATGGGCTCTATACACAACGACAAAGGGAACCAACCCTGAAAACAGAGACTCTGACAGCAACAGCTACAGCACCCATCACATCACTTCTCAGGGAGATTTAAACATTTATCAGATGAACTGCTATGATGAAATCTGTAGTAGCAGACTCGTAAAAAATAAGAATTCATTTTGGACGTTTCACAGATTATTAGTTAATGGTAACATGCCAATGCCTCCCTTATGTGTGTCAAGTACTCCAGGAAAAGGTGATCCAGGTGATCCTGCATGCATGAGTGGCTGGGAATGCTGCTTGAATTCAGTGGGACCAGAGAGCTCATTGCTTCATATCTGACACCTTTGTAATGTAAATTCTGCTTACTACCGTAAGGAAGAAGATGTCACGGCCCATTATAGATTGAGATATGCTCAGAACTCCTCAGTCACAGTTAAGCAGGAGGCCTGGCTAGGCCCCTCTCCCCATCTTGTCTCGGAATTCGAAAGCTTGGAAAGTTACCGGTGTCCTCACTACGTGACTAAGCCCATGAGAAAAGGAGGCAAGCTCCAAATGATTCATTAGATGAGACTGTGTGCCCTAAACCAAGGAGATGAACTGAGAAAGGACGCAAGCCCAGAGGACAGTATGCCATATATGTGCAGGTGCCCATGGAGGCAGAAAAGCGTGTCGGATCCCCTGGAGCTAGAGTTACAGGTGGCTGTGAGCCACAAGACATGGGTGCTGGGAACCAAACCCCAGTTCCCTGAAAGAGCAGCAAGCACTCTTAAACCCTAAGCCTTTTCTCCAGCACCTCCATTTAAAAGGTAAATTTATTGTCAGGCACAGTGGCGCACGCCGCTATTCCCAGCACTTGGGAGGCAGAGACAGGCGGATCTCTGCAAATCCAAGGCTGGTCTGGTCTACAGAGTGAGTTCCAGGACAGCCAGGACTACACAGAGAGAGACCTTGTCTCAAAAAACAACACCCCCCAAAAAAACTATATTACATTTTTTGTGTCTGCATCGTGTGTGTGTGTGTGTGTGTGTGTGTGTGTGTGTGTGTGTGTGTATACATGTGTGCACACCATGATGTACATGGGTGGCCAGAGGACAGCTTGCATTACAGGAGGCAGTTCTCTATTGTGAAAGATTAGTTATAGATGTGTTACACTCGTTTGTGCTATGGAATATTTGTCTAATGAAGCAAAGATGTGTTGCATTCTTTATGTTGCATATGTTTAACTCGGTTACTTTGCCTGTCTAAATTCCCTGATTGGTCTAATAAAGAGCTAAATAGCCAATAGCAAGGCAGGAGAAAGGATAGGCAGAGCTGGCAGGCAGAGAAAATAAACAGGAGGAGAAATCTGGGAGGAGAGGACTAGGAGCAAGAAAAGAAGGGGCCATCCACACAGCCACAGAGCCAGCCACAGAATAAGAAAGAGAGAAAAGATATACAGAAACTAAGAAAGGTAAAAGCCCAGAGGCAAAAGGTAGATGGTATAATTTAAGTTATGAAAAGCTGACTAGAAACAAATCAAGCTAAGGCCAGGCATTCATAAGAAAGAATAAGACTCCATGTGTTTATTTGGGAACTAGGTGGTGGACCCTCAAAGAGCCAAAAGAGTAAAAAGAGTTAAAAATAAAAACTCAATGTGGGGCTATCTATCCATAGGGCCCGAGAAAGCTCAAAGTTTAAAAAAACAAAACCAAACATGGACACAGCTCCCTTAAGAAGCTCTGCCGTAAGCAGAGCACTTGGACAGTCTTGTTCACACTCAAGAGAAACAAAAACCTAAGTAAAAACCCTGCCACAGTGCAGGACACGGGCACTCCAGTGCTGGGGGTTGAATGCGGCTCCAGGTCAAACAAATCTCTGACTGGACCTCAAGCTTCAGGCTTGGATCTCACCGGTGAGAAGCAGGTGGAGCCAATCAATAGAGCCATGTAGAGGACCCAGCTGTAGTTTTAGCAGTTTAAAGTTTGCTCACACGGTCAAAAAAGACTAGAGATATGCAGTAAAGACAGATCCAGACAGAAAAAAACCTCTAAACAGTTACAGTGTGCTTTACAATGTGCGTAGGCTTAAGAAAGAAAGAAAATGGGTATGGACAGTCGTAGAAAGAAAGAAATAGCTTAAAAATAATGAAGTCTTTAAAGAGAGAAATAAAATTAAAAAAAAATAAAGAAGAAGAAGCCACATAGAGATGGGAAATACACAGCGAGTCTGAGTCCTGTATGTTGCTGTGTTGATCCTGGAATTTTTTGATTGTTGATAAGCAAACAACAGCTGCTCAGGGATTGAAAGAGGAACTGCTGAAATAAAGCAGCCAATATGCTTAAGAATGCCTTAACTTCAAAATGGAAGTCAAAAAACATATTTGTAAAATGGAATTTAAAAGATGCATTGCTGCCAGGCAGTGGTGGCGCACACCTTTAATCCCAGCACTCGGGAGGCAGAGGCAGACAGATCTCTGTGAGTTTGAGGCAAGCCTGGGCTAGAGAGTGAGCTCCAGGAAAGATGCAAAGCTACACAGAGAAACCCTGTCTCGAAAAACCAAAAAAAAAAAAAAAAAAATGCATTTCTTTGGAGAAGAGGTTTTGCTTTTGTTCCCACATGAGATGAAAGGCTGTGGATTCCTTCAGGATTGATATGGATCAGGTTTGATCAGGGGAGACCTCCTGAATCTTGATAGGTGATATCTATCAACAAAGGTTATAGCTGGTCTTCCCAGGACTTGGCCATTACCTCAATTTTTCTCAGGGACCCCTAAAGATGCCTTTGCCCATAGACAACAGGAAGCAGTCTGGAGAGCATGATGCCCACATTCCCAAGAGATAGGGTGGGTAGTATTTAGTTATTTGGTGGGTTCTGGATGTTTGATATCATTTAGGAGAATATAGAAATATAGGATAAAAAGACAGCTATTAATTTCAGATATTTTTACATTGGCATGGATTTTGGTATATTGATACAAATTGAAAGTTATTTTTGTTTTGCTGTATATATGTTTCTACTTTTGTTTGGGGTTTTGTACTTAAGCAGCTCATTTAAGATACGATGTATAATTAAGAAATGAGGTTAGTAGTTAATCTATAATAAACTTGTAGTCACATCAGGTATGTTTTCAAGGTTAAACAGGTATATTTTAGACAGATAGATGATTTTCAAACACTTCAAACACCTACAGAATATGGCATTTAAAATGTTTTGTTAAGATGGGGCTTTTCATGACAATGAGACACATCTTCTCCTGGCATGACCAATTTACTTCATAAAAGGATGATGGGCATCAAAGAAACTCCATATGAAGTTTGCTTTCAATGTGGCAAGGCTAGCCATTTGGGCAAGAAAGTGCTTTTCCTTGACTGCTGACAGTATGCTGTATAAACTTGATGTGCAAGACCCACAGGAAAGTGACTGCTAAACTTTGCCAAAACAAGGCAGGACAGTCCTTCAAAATTCCTACTTCATAGAAGAGTCTGCCAGAGACTCTGGGCTTGTAGGCCCAGATGGATGCCACAATGTTGCAGAGGAACTTATGGTGACTGTCCAGGCAGCCAGAAGTCTCTGTTATTAGGTAATATTACATCCTTTTGGGGTCTTTGATGGAGTTAAAGGCTAAATAGTTAGAGTTATAGTTTTCCTTAGTTATGATAGAAAGTAAAATAAGTATAAAACTTTGGAATGACTAAGATAAGATAATGAAGTATTTTCTCTGAATTTGCTAAATACAAATGGACCTAATATTGTAAATGTAATTCTTACTTGATAACCATTTTTGTTGTATATAGTTTTACTATGCTAAAGTTAAAACCTTTCATTTTTATTTAGACAGAAAGGGGGAAATGTGGAAGATTAGTTCTAGATATGTTGCATAGAACTTATATATGCTGCAGAATATTTATTTAATGATGCAAAGATGTGTTGCATTCGTTTAATTCTGTGAAACTATGTAACTTTGACTGTCTAAAACACCTGATTGGTCTAATAAAGAGCTAGATGTCCAATAGCAAGGCAGGAGAAGGGCAGGCAAGACTGGCAGGCAGAGAGAATAAAAAAAATTGGAGGAGAAATCTAGGAAGAAGAGATCGAGGAGCAAGAAAAAAAGGGGCCATCCACACAGCCACAGAGCCAGACACAGAATAGGAAGGAAAGAAAAGATATACAGAAATAGAGAAAGATAAAAGCCCAGAAGCAAAGGATAGACAGGATAATTTAAGTTAAGAAAAGCTGATTAGAAACAAGCCAAGCTAAGGCCAAGCTTTCATAAGAAAGAATAAGACTCCATGTGTTTATTTGAGAGCTTAGTGGTGGACCCTCAAAGAGCCAAAAGAGTACAAACAAACAAATAACAAACAACAACAGCAACAACAACAACCCTACAGTGTTCCCCTTCCATCATATGAGTCCCAGGAAATGAACTCAAGTCAGTAGGCGTGGCTGCAAGAGCCTTTACCCACTGAGCCATCTCACCGGCCACAACCTCTTCTTCAAATTTCACATTAACAGTGTTTTCACAGACTGGAGAGATGGCTCAGAGGTTAAGAGCACCGGCAGCTTCCAGAGGTCCTGAGCTCAGTTGCTGGCAACCACGTGGTAGCTTACAATCATCCACTATGAGATCTGGTGCCTCCTCTGGCGTGCAAGCATACATGCAGGTAGAGCACTATATACACAATAAGTAAATAATTTTTTTTTCCGAGACAAGGTTTCTCCGTGTAGTTTTGGTGCCTATCCTGGGTCTTGCTCTGTAGCCCAGGCTGGCCTCGAACTCACAGAGATCCGCCTGGCTCTGCCTCCCGAGTGCTGTGATTGAAGGCGTGCGCCACCACCGCCCAGCAAGAAGTAAATAAATCTTTAAAAAAAAAAAACACTCATTTCCTCTCTCATACCCACCCTGAATGAAGACAAGGCTAAGCTCCTTCCACGGGACCTGCCCCTAGCCTCAGTCTGCACATCTGTCCCACACCACAGCCTCCTCAGAGCCTGCTGCACAACCTGTCCCTCTGCCAGGTTCATTTCCTGCCCCACATAAACACATCTAACCTGGATCAAACTTGACCTGAGCCTCCTACTCTCCTGACTGTTTATCTTCCTCCTTTTACTGAGAAGCTTCTCAAACAGGCTCCCATGTGTGCATCTTCCTCATTTCATTCTTTAAACTCACCTCTTAGCTTCCTGCACACCAGTCCCTCACGCGCCCTGGCCTTCTCAGGGTTATCACAGATAGACACCACTTACCAGACCAGGGGCCTGTTGTCACTTTACAGGTGACATTACATTCAGAAGTAAACTTTTCATTACATTCAGTAAAGCCAAAGGTTCATGGCTCAGAAGAAAAAAAAATCAAGAAATAATCAATCAGACTTCTCCCAGGTCTCCATGAAAGTGACAAACAAGTTTTAGATGACTGTAATTCCATTCCCTCCCACAGTGACACCTCTCTGCAGCTGTCATTCTCTAATGACTCCTGTTTATTGGAGCTCGGTGCTGTTGGTGTACAGCTGAGGTGCGGGTTGTAGTCTCCACTCTGGCGAACAAACCCTCTGACTCTCCCCTACTTGGATAGTAAGCCATAAAGTCATGAAGGAGCAAAGGTCAATGGTATCTGAAAGACACCAAGGGGGAAAAGCTTGGAGGATTTCATTCTTTACCTGTAGTAACATTTCCTCGACACTCAAGAATAGCCTTTCTGCATCATTGATCTTGCCCATGTGCTTCAGGAAACTCCCAACGAAGAGTATCATCCTGCATTTATCAGCGGCAGTAACCTGGGAGAGGCTGCACTCCAGGACTGGAACAGGAAGAAAGCAGACAGGCCTGAAGGACACTGGGAAGGAACAGATGCCTGGCCTGCTCCCGCTTCAGGACTCCACAGCTGTATTTCTCATTCCTTTTGTAGGGGGTGATCGGTTGTTTTCTTTGTTTTTGTTTGTGACAAGTTCTTTTGGATTTTTGGAGATAACGCCTCACTCTGCAGCCCAGGTTAGCCTTGAAATCACAGTCCCCTACCTTTGCCTCCAAAGTGCTGGGACTGTAGACACTTCAACTTCTTGTTTAAGACACGAGCAGATTTTATTACAAATATTGGCAAATACTTTAAATGGCACCATAAAAGTCTATAATGATATTGTACAACCTTGTATAAATGTTAAAATCTAAAGAGCTGAACAATTTTACAGCTCTGTGGTAGTTTGAATGTAATTGGCCCCATAAGCTCATAAGAAGTGGAACTATTAGGAGGTGTGGCTTCATTGAAGTAGGTGTGACCTTTTTGGAGGAAGTGTCTTTGTGGGGGCAGGCTTTGAGGTTTCATGCTCAAGGTACTACCCAGTGTGTGAGTCCACTTCCTGTTGCCTTCTAATCAAGATGTAGCCAGCACCATGACTGCCTACACACTGCCATATGGGCTCCCCGCCATGATGGTAATGGACTGAACCTCTGAAACTGTAAGCGAGCCACCCCAATTAAATGTTTTCCTTATAAAAGTTGTCACGGTCATGGTGTCTCTTCATAGCAATAGACACCCCAACTAAGACAAGTTCAATCCATGTATTGTTATAATTTGTGTTTTGGAATGATTTTTTTCAGGAAAAAAAGCAAAAAAGCTAATATTTCTTTCTTTCTTTTTTTTTTTTTTTTTTTTGTTTGTTTGTTTTGTTTTGTTTTTCGAGACAGGGTTTCTCTGTGTAGCTTTGGAGCCTGTCCTGGAACTCACTCTGTAGAACAAGCTGGCCTCAAATTCACAGAGAGCCTCCTGCCTCTGCCTCCTGAGTGCTGGGATTAAAGGCGTGCGCCACCACCACCCAGCTTTTAAGTTAATATTTCTTACACAATTCTTCCCTCTGTTACAACTATCAAGAATTGCTAGGTTAAATAGAAAGAAAAATGTTAGAAATGTCCACAGGCAGACTTGTAAAACCCCTCCCCTACTCAGAAGGCTGAGTTGGGAAGGTCACAAGTTCAAGGTCAGCAGGGACACTGGGGGAGTTCAAGGACAACCTGGGCAACTTCATGAGACCTTGTCTCAAAATAAAAAAGGTTAGGCATGCGGGCTGGCTGAAGACACCCACAGGCTCATCTGGGTCCTCACGGGCTGGGCTGGCTGAAGACACCCACAGGCCTTGTGGCGCCTGCAGGTAGGCACTGTTATGATGAGCAAATATATGATGGAGAAATGGGAAAGAAAGAGAAATGGACAGGTTCATGTGCTGTGGGAAGAGGCAGAACTGAAGAAGCAGAGGAGGTGAGGAACAGGCTCCTGGGGGTGGCCTACTTGCCATGGTGATGTTCAGGACCATACTGATCTGGGTGACCTGCATTGCCACTGGGGCCAGGGTGATGTCCAGGCCCGAGCTGCTGCCTAGGGCCATGTCTGGGTCAGTGGCCCTACAGCAGCCAGGGTCTGAGTTGATGTCTGTGGTTCCTGTTACCACGGGGGGCCATGGGAACCATGGGTGTTGAAATCCGAGGGCTGTGCTGAGCCAGGACCACCTTTGTTGGCCTGGGAGAGCTGACCCTGCCTCTCACTGGCCACTGTAGCAGAAGAGCTGGCCCTGCCCCTCAAAGGAGAGCTGGCTCCACATTCGGGAGAGATGGCCCCGCCACTCACCATGAGCGCAGGAGGGCTGGCCCTGATGACCTGAGCACAGAAGAGCTGATTCTGCCTCTTGCCTGAGGGGGCAGTCCCAGCTGCCTGGACTGACCAAATCAGCTACCATTTGGACCCAGGTCCAGGGCTTTGAGTTGGCCCACCCCAGCATCTACCCCATCTGTGACCTGCCAGAGTGTGTGGAGGGGGGACTGGTCCTGTGGAACTGTAGCCGCAGGATCTCCATGACTCAGGGCAATAGCAGGATGTCCTAGAGGAGTTTCGGAGAGAGTTCAGTATTGAGGTGTCCCAGGAGCCAGAGGTCTTGAACCAGACAGACCACTCACTGCAGTGGACATCTGGAAGTAAAGCTGAGCGGACAAAGGGCCTACTGTGTGACACACTGCAGCTCCCAATGCCACCAAGATGAATGCAGAGGTGGCGGAGAGGCCGCAAAGATGGAGACGCAAAGTGGGTTTTTGTTTGTTTGTTTTGTTTTTAATTAATGTTTTTTAATTTGCTTTTCTGGGGGACACTACAGGGGTGAGGAGTGGATACAGAGGGGCTGGGAAATGAGCAGGATTGGGGTGCATGATGTGAAATTCCCAAAGAATCAATAAAAATTACATTTTAAAAAAAGGTTGAGCATGTAGCATAGTGATAGAACATTTGCCTAGCACATGCAGACGTGCTACAGAAAGGCGAAGCAATAAAAATGAACAAAATAGGAGATAGACACTTGTGTTTGTATGTCGATACATACAAGCAAAAGTATGTAAAACCTTTGACTCATGGTCTGACAACATGGGCACTGGTCTGCCTCTCTTCATACGCTCCAGGGCAGTGGTTCTCAGCCTTCCTAATGCTGCGACCCTTTAATGTAGTTCTTCATGTCCTGGTGACCCCCAACCGTAAAATTATTTCGTTGCCACTTTATAACTGTAATTTTGCTACTGTTATGAATCGTAATGTAAATATCTGATATGCAGATCTGATGTGACCCCAAGGGGTTGCGACCCACAGGTTGAGAACTGCTGTTCTAGGATTTAACCTTCCACATGGTTGTTTATTTCAGAGGACTGGCTCTAATGTAGTTGTCACAATTGACTGCTTGTTCCTCATTGGTTGTTTCCCTTGTGTTGGGGCCAGTGTGCCCGGCATGCTTCTTGCTTTCACAGTCATACACAAGGTAAACGTGTACTGAGGACCTAGTAAACATGCGCAGGGTCCTAGGGTCTGAGAAAGCAGACTGCATCCCCGGACTGCAGAGTAGCTGGGAGTTAATGTACTTCCAGGTCAGAGGGCAAAAGCACAAACATAGTCATGGAGACAGATGCAGAGGGCTAAAGTCAACGCTGTTTGTCCAGAGCCGTCAGCAAAGCAAAGGGACGTGAGGTTAGAAGAACCAGAGTCGAAACAGGACATGGGGATGCCTCAGAGCCACCACAGCTGTTTACTACAGGCAACAGGTGAGGAGGAAGAGCGGCAGGATGTGGAGATTTTACATTCCAAGGAGATGAGAAGGTCCAGATGCCTGTCAAGGGTTCAGATTTGAATGGCTAATGTTGTGAACAAGAATTCCTAAAAAGAAGCTGTGTCTGGCTGTGAATGAAAAGCTCCTGGAAGGAGTCTATGTCCGCAGAGACTGATGGACCAATTGGAATTTCAGTACCGTGGAGAGATTGGAATTTTGCAGGTTCAGGGCTAATTACTTTATCTAGGGCTAGTGTTAGCCTTCTGGGACAGCCACTCTGTGCCTGAACTAACACCTCGTGATGACAAATAAAACCTCTTAGAAGCTATTATCTTAGCAGAACACTAGCTTCTGCCAATCCAAGAGCTAAGAACTTCATCCAATAGCATCTTGGGTCTACAGAACAGCTCCCCCATCTCATTGTACCCACCTCTCTGATGTATTCACCAGTGTATTTTAAACTTCCCTTGATTTATGACTTTCTTTGTCCGTAAAAACTATAAAACCTTCATGAAACTGCTTCTGCATTGGAACATGGAATTTGGGGTAACCTAAATCTGTGTTCTCGGGCCATGGTCACTCAAGATGGGTCCAGAGTAAACTCTGATTCCTTTGAATGAGAGCTGTGGTTTTTATGTTGACAAAGGTCACTCAGGAAAGCTGTTGATTGGGAAACAACCCTAATACTCGGGGGGAGGGGAGGCTGTAGCTGGGGGACAGAGCGCTTGCCTGGCATGCTCAAGGCTCTGGTTGACTCCCCAGTACTAAAGAAAACAGAGTATCATGAAAAGCAGATGGACTCTGGCCCTCCAAAAGGAGGTGAGTGTTGCAGATGGAGCTAAGCAAGGTCTGGAGATGGGCCTTAAGGAAGTATAGAGAGAAAAGAATGCTAAGACAAAACTATAGAAAATTGCCACAGAGAGAAGAGAAAGAGAAGCCATTTCAACATTAGCCCCTTATCCTGACTCGTTGTTTGCAGAAAGTCTTGTATTCAACTGTGAGGAGTAATCAGAGAGGCCGGCAGACTGGGACTCGTGGGAGGAAACAGAAGAGCATTGACTTTGGGAGAGTTTCTATCCCAGAAAAAGAGACTCAGCGGCACCGTGGCTGGTGTACCTGAGGGCGTGGTCACCGGCACCGTGGCTGGTGTACCTGAGGTGGTCAGCGGCACCGTGGCTGGTGTACCTGAGGTGGTCAGCGGCACCGTGGCTGGTGTACCTGAGGGCGTGGTCAGCGGCACCATGGCTGGTTTCCTGAGTGCGTGGACAGCAGCACTGTTACCTGCGTACCTGAGATCGTGGGTCGCTTCTTTACTTTCTGGCACTGTTCTGCTTCTATCTTGGCAACGCAGAGCAGAAAAGACTCAGATACGTCATAGCCAGCCTCCAGCAGCACATCCCAGTAGTGGACAAGGTGCAGCCTGGTCCACAAACTCGGGTTGTGGATTTTTGATATGAAATCTGTGATGCTATGGGACATAGAATCATTTTAGTACTCAGGCCTTGAAGGAAGCTATTCTTTTCTTTCATTAGCCTAGTCTTACCCTCTCCACCCCTCAAAGCAGGATCTCATATATGCCAGACCAAGGAGGACCTTCAACTTCTGATCTTCCTGCCTCAATCTCCCAAGTGTTGCCATTATATATATGTGCCATCATGCCCAGTTTAACCAAACTCAGGGCCTTGTGCATGATGAAGAGACCTGGCTAGGTGAACATTCTACCAACTGAGCTATATCCCATGACACACAAACACTGTCTCTGTTTCTGTCTCTGTCTGTCTGTCTGTTTCTGTGTGTGTGTGTGTGTGTGTGTGTGTGTCCGTGTCCCACAGAGTTTAATTAGGGTTGCTCCCATAAGCAGAGGTGGCAGGGGCAGGGGCACCTCATCAATGACTATACCACTGAAAAATGGCACCCGTCCCCCAACAGCCATTGACTGCCAAGAGCCTCACGGAGGGGAAAAGAACTTATGGCTCCCTGCCCCGTCCATGATGGAACGTTGAAGGGTCCAACCTTGTGCAGATAACCACAGGTGCGGAGAGTGTGTAAGTACAATGACGACGTCATGCCCAGATGTGTTCGGGCCACCCATGCCCCCATCCTTGGCTCTTCCATTCTTCCCGCCCTCTCTTTCCTACTACTCCCAGAGCTTCGTAGGAGGGCCAGTCCCGTACACTTCGTGAAGCTTTGGTTGTCACCAGAGAAATATGAGCCTTTGACTCTTCATAGCCAGAGCCGGTTCTCTGGGCAGGCTCCTCGGCGCTACCTCCCAGACAAGGGGGTCCCTTATGCCTGCTGCTTCACATGAAGCATGGCCCACATCTGCCCCTTCCCCATACATGGAAAGTGAGAACTTAGGGCTGTGTCTTCGTCAAGGGCTACAGCAGTGCCACAGGCCAGAGGCAGGTGAGACCCCGACAAACTGGCTGAGTTAATGTGTGAGGGCGAAGGAAGGAAGCAGGGAAAGACAGAGAAAGGACAGCAGGAGAAGAATGGAGCAAGAAAAGCCAGGACACGCGTCCAGCCAGCCACCAGCACAGCCCATCTGTCCTCGTCTCCACGCAATGCCTGGAGGAATGCATACGGCGTGAAAGAGGAGCATGCTGTAGTGACAGAGAGGTCCAACAGCATCCTTTGGGATCCACCCACCATGCAAGGGGACTCCACAGTAAGGTCCACACATGAATGAATGAATGTTTTGCCCGGAGAACCCATGTTGCTAATGTGACATCGATTCTCCCTCTGCAGCTAGCAGGGCTTACCTGGGGCTCGTGACAAAGCTGCACAGGCCTTCCCAACACCGGCTCATCTTCATGTGCCACGGCAGCTCCTGATACACTCTCCAGAAAATGGTTTGCCGCTGGAAGTACCTCATCAAGACCTGGTGGAAACGTGCCTTCTTGTGATTCACGGTGTTCTGAGACGTGTTTGGACTGCTCTCTCTGACCGGAGTGATCACACCTATTTCAAAACCAATCGCAGCCTCACACTTCCGACTTTTTTAGCGTATGAAAATACTATCACAAAAATATGACAACTCCAATGCCATGATTAAGGAAGGAAAAGTCAAAGCATCTCGGAGAGTGGCTTGTACAGGGCCGGGGAAATGGCCCAGGGGGAAAGTTCTTGCTGAACAATCACAAGGCCTGGAGTTTGGATCTGCAGAACCCATATACACACCAGGCAGAGGTGATGGCGCGCCTGTAATCACAGCGCTAAGGAGGAAGGGGAAGGGGATCCCTGGAGCAGGCTAGTTGGTCTGCTAGCTAAGCTAGCCAGATCCATGAGCTATGGTTTAAGCGAGAGACCCTGCCTTAGTATATAATGTGAAAAGAAGTTAAAGAAGACATCTCATATCAACCTGTGGTCTCTACATGCACACACACACACACACACCTGCATACACACATGCATGCACACCTGTACACACACACATGCACACACACACACACTTGCACATGCACACACACCCATGCAGCCACGCAGCCACAAATGCACATATACATGACCCAAAAAAAAGTATCTTATGCAACATTCTGAGTTTCTCCAGAAAGTATATATAGTTATGGTTAAGGGTAAATGTATGGATATTTCATGTTGAATTTTCTTCCCTGACTTCCACAAGGAAACACTTTCAACTACTTTTCTATTTTCTTTTTGTTTGTTTGTTTGTTTCAAGAAATAGGAGAGCGGCAGTGTAGAAGGAACGGAAGGGTAGTTACAGATATTAAGATATTATTCATTTATTTTTATTTTATGTGTACAGATGTTTCACCTGCATGTACGCTTGTATACCACATGCATGCACTGCATGTAGGTCAGAAAAGGGCAGCAGATCCCCTGGAACTGGAGATACAACAGTTGTTAACCGCCATGTGTCTGCTGGGAGTCAAAACCGAGGACCTCTGGAAGAGCAACCATGGCTCTTAACCCCTAAGCCATCTTTCCAGTCCACTTTTCTAGTTTCAGCACACACTGTGGCTGCGGCCTAAATAAGCACTCTCTAGCATGTGAGGGGAAGTACTCTGGAGACCCGAGCCCTCTTCCTGGGTCTCCTAAGGGCCCTGTGGTCACTGAGCACACAAACAGGAATGCGGTGCTAAAGCCAGGAGTTTCTGTCTCCATCCCCAAGGGAAACGGTGCTGACAGACTGTGACTCTCAGAAACAAACTTCTCAGCAGCTCGGAGTTGTGCTTAGTCAGAGCCTGGGGATGGCTATTCCGTCTGTTTGTTTGTTTGTTTGTTTTTGTTTTTTGAGACAGGGTTTCGCTGTGTAGCTTTGGTGCCTGTCCTGGATCTTGCTCTGTAGACCAGGCTGGCCTTGAACTCACAGAGATCCGCCTGGCTCTACCTCCCAAGTGCTGAGATTAAAGGTGTACCACCACCGCCACCACCACCACCACCACCACCACCACCACCACCACCACCACCCAGCTGAGGTCTGTTCTTGAAAATCAAAATATTGGAAGTATTTTTACATTTGTTTTCCTTGATTGACACTTTTTCTTGAAAGCTGAATGGAACACACACTAGACAGCACACCAAGCCCATATTATCATAAAAACTGTAACCAAGAAGAACCGAGTGTTTAATCTTCTGCATTTATGCTGAAGTGATTTCCAAGTCACAGACACATTTGGAGAGAGTTTGTGCTATTCTGTCAAACATGTGTTCATATGCTCTGGTGGTGATGCACATGAGACCTATGGAAGAGAAAGGAAACTCCTCCCTCACTGTACGGTGAAGGCATTTCTGTGGATGGTGCATTGAGAAAGTAAGGTAGGCCGGGCAGTGGTGGTGCATGCCTTTAATCCCAGCACTCGGGAGGCAGAGCCAGGCGGATCTCTGTGAGTTCTAGGCCAGCCTGGTCTACGGAGCGAGATCCAGGACAGGCACCAAAACTACACAGAGAAACCCTGTCTCGGAAAGAGAGAGAGAGAGAGAGAGAGAGAGAGAGAGAGAGAGAGAGAGA